CGGCAATGGCAAATTTCCTAAGACATGTTGACTGGCTGCATTAACTTTCCTCAAAGTTTTTGTCAGTTAACTCGATCAAAAAGATGAACTTATTCAGAAGGTGTTTCAGATGTTTCTCAAAATTAAGACACCATGATTGGTTGGCCGAACGAGCTATATTGGACTGCAAAAAAATATGATGTAAATGAATTAAATTTAAAAATTCAAGACCAAATTATCAGCGAATCGAGGATATATAAATCAGTTTGTTTGGCTACTAACCAAGATGATGTAGTGAACTAATCCACAGAGATTTCTTATAACTGGCTGATTTAACAGCTTTTCTCCTGCACAATTCTCATTACAGGTTGGATCGGTAGTTAGTAATCGTTTGCGAATATCAACAACCCACGTCTTTGGGGCAACGGCACAGCGTTAGCGATTAAAAAAAATTACTAAACCGTGATAGAAGCACTAACTGAAAGAAAGCTATTAAGGGAAAGACGTTCCCTCATACGCGGCATCCCAATGATTCGACTGATTGGCGGTTAACTTTACACGACTACAGTTTCCAGTTCGGGCTTGCTTTGCTATGACCATAAACAAATCCCAGGGCAATAATTAAGTGTTTGTGGTAATTAATATGGAAAACCCATGTTTCTCACTGGTCAATTGTAGTTGCCTGTTCCCCGTGTTGGAAACCATCAGATTTGTTTGTCTTATGCGCCAGGTAATCAAACAACAAAAACATTGTATATCACAAAGAACTACAATGAAAATAAAACTGTTGTATTTAAAAATTTTTGTTAATAATTATGATTCACATAATTAACAATAAAGCGATTACTTACTTTTAAATGCCCTTTTAAAAAATAAATGGGTTTTTTTTTTATTTAATTATATTTCTTATTCACAAACGCCGCTATCACAGGGTGATCGGTTTCTGTTCAGGAGATTATTTTGGCCCAGCTCACAAAATATGTTAGGAACAAAAAAATATCACATACAATCTTTTGGACAGGACGAAGTCTGTGGTCGATAGTTATTTAAATATTATTAATAATTAATATATTATTAATATATTAAAGTAATTAAGGTCCAGGCGTTGTTGAGTTATGCGCTTACCAACACATTTTGCGATTCATTTTTATATTATAGATTAAGTTAATAATAATAAATAATAACTCACTGTTATTATTTACGCACAACTTTTATTATTTCAATTTCAATTTATCACGCTACCTCTCTGCACAACGTTTATCATGATGTAATTTAAAATTTATGTTATTAGGATAGGTAAAAAGCAATGAATCTCATACAATTCAACCCTATTAAAAATAAATAATATGTCTGTTTTTTTGTTTTACAAACGTCTACGAACGCCTGCGTAAACGGATCTCAGCGAGAACAGATATATCTATTGAGGCACATGCTTTTCCCATCACTTTGGATTTGCCATTTAAATCGACCGTGAAGAGCAGGCAGCTTTTCTTCACAGGAAATTTAATCAGCGAAGACGCATTGCCAACTGCCTTTCCATTTGCAACTCGGGGGTTCCGGGATTTCTCATACCCCAGCAGAGCCTTGATTCAGCGTGCTGGCTTCTGCCATTCTCCCTCAAAGAAGTCTTAGAATCTTGCACAAAAATAGTTACATAATAGTGGCCTGCGGAGCGGAAATACTGTTGAACAAAACCACACAAAATGATTGGCCAAAAAGAAGATGCACAGCATTCATAAACAACAAATAAAATACTCTCGTATAACAGTACAATTAATTACATATTTTAACGCAAAACGCATTCCGGAATTGTGCAATTACATGGTTTAATAGGCAGGTGTATCCCCCTAAGTTGGCCACTGCAAATATCTTCGAAACGGTTATACATTTCGTGTGCGGTTTGCGCCAGGGTTGTAGATGATGGGGAAAATAATGTATTTCGTTTTCTATTTTTGTACCTTTTTTTAATTACTGGCAAATTGACACAACCTTGATTTCTTAAAAGGAAGCAAATAATTTTCCTTCATCATACTAAATTACTCCAAGAGACGAACGCAGTGATATAAGTATTGTCAATATTAAGAAATACTCTGGAGAAAAATAGGTTCAACATTTTCTCAGAAGCCACGTTTCCCGCACCTTTCCGCAACGGTTTTCCGGAAGACCGTACTAAGAATAAAACCCAGAGGTGGTGATACAACAGCACATATTTTCTCGCATTGATTCTAAATTTGCAATTTTTGAAGATGGATAGAGTTCAGCGAAAATGAGACCTGCGCAATTCATTTACGCGTCCCTTCCATCCGTGGAAAAATATTGGTGCAGTTTTTCAGTATTTTGTTTAATACATTGCATTAATTACGCGATAACCACTAGTTTTAAAAAAATTGTACATGACCGTTTTAAGGTGATGATTTTTTTTTGAACGCAAACATTTTTATCATCAATTTTGTTGTTTTAAAATTTTTTTTTTTTGCAATTTTCGAAAAAACGGAGAGTTTGAAAAATGGAACTAGAACAATATTTTTAGCGTCCCTTGATACATACGAGGAGAAAAATTGACAGAAAAAGTCTGGTGCCGTCGTAGAGAAAAAAATTGTTTTATACATTTAAAATCGCCTAATTTCGCGCAAAATTATGCAAAAACTAATCATATTTTAAAAAAAATCCTTACATGACGTCACTTCAAGATGTTTTTAAAAAACAGATTTAATTAATGAAACAAATCTCTATCTTCAATATTATAGTTCTTGGAAGACGCCTCGGAAAATAGCACTTTTGCAATTTTCGAAAAATATGGAATTTCTACGAACACGAGACCTGGACCATTTTCGTATGCGTCTTATACGCTATCCGAGGACAAAGGTTTTTAAAGAAGTTTGTGCCGTTTTCAAGAATTCTTAATATAAAGAACCCTCAAAAATCCAAATATAAGCTTGAAACTCCCAAAACCTTCTAGTTCGTTCAGATTGATCGGGAAATATTAGTTTTGAAGAAAATCGTCTGAACGGTTTAGGCGCTAGCTACAGACGGACATTTTGCCGTAAATCAATTTTTCGGTATCAATGACCCACAAAACATTGATTCCGGCTACCCCACGTGTAGAAGGAAATAATTTACTTTATTTGTCAACAGGAGTTATACACTATAGTAACCAGGGCCCGGCAATATGAATTTTTCTGCCGAAAATTTGCCGTTTGCGGCGCACGACTACATAACTCTCATCTTACCAAATGACTGAGAAAAAGTAGACAGTTGCTGTTCCATAACGCAACACGAAAATAGCAAAACTTTAGCGAGGGCTCTCTTCCTTGGATACTTGACGCAGCATGACGTCAGCTGTGACGTAAGCAGTCACGTACTGCTGGCCGTGAACTGATTGTTAGGGTACTGTTCCAGCATTTACCTCGTGTTGATCGGTGAAACCACGGAAAACTGTCTCAAACAAGCCGACCCCTAGAATTCTCCTCCAAGCAGCTCAATTTCGAACAATAACTGCATTTTGAAAGCTAGATTATATTTTTAACTTTAAAATAATAAAATTGTAAATATCAAAAATTAACAAGTAATGTTAATTCTACAATACAATATTCAGATTAAATTGGAAAATTACTTTTCATTCTGGGTTGTAAATAATATAAAAAACACCACAAACTAAACAATTAGTAAATATTCTGTATTACGAAATGTGTGAACAACAATACTTGAGAATAAATCATATCATTCAATAAACGTTGATAATTAAAATGGTTTCTAGCAATTTTTACTTTCACGTCTTACTATGTCCATAGTAAAGAAAAAAATATTGTAATGCTGCCGCAAAAATCGGCGATTTTTAGACAAAACTCGTTTTGCGGGCACCTGATAAGGCAAAAAAATTATAAATCTTTCCCCTAAAAATAGTAAATTACTTCATCTAACACGTTCAGTAATTGTAATGCAAGTTTTGTGTATTATGATCTAATTGGTTTACGATACCGAAATGTATTTTTCCCTCAACAATGCGGATGCGACGAAATAGAACGACGCATCATTTGTTAATGTTTTGACGGTCATTTGAGTATAAAATTAGACTTTCTGACATGTGATTTGAAATGAAACGGGCAACATTACCTCTAGAACCTTGCAATTGTTGCCCTTTGGGAAGAAGGCCTTCGCGGCTCAGTGACACTTACGGGGGGAGACAACCACAGCAATGTATGGTCTTGTGAAAACTGACGCAGGGGTAACTATCAATATTAACGATCAGAATGGTATACTGTTTTCCATAGATTGATCAAATTTATTTTTTTCTTCTACAGTTTGGAATTCCAAAGCATCGATTCATAACGCCACAAAACATTGCGATCAGTTCGCCGACCCTTGCACACAGTACTGCGGATGTGCCTTCCAGAGTATAAGTGTAAATAATTTGTGTAAATATTTGTAGGTTTTCTGTAGTTATCCTAGTCATTTTATTTTTGTAAATTTACAACGAGTTGAGTAACAGTAAAATAAATTTCTACTTGGGATCTAAACGCTATCTGGAGATATAGTGAATCTTCAACCACTCATTCCTTTCCTTGTATTTTAAAAGTTTTAAAATTCTGCCTTTTTCGCGAAACCATTAGACAGCTCTATTGTTGCTCTATTGTCAAATTTGAAGATAGTTATATTCCTTATTAAAATAATTTTACCGTTCATTTCAATGATCACTTTGCAATTTAAAGCAATGAAAGGTTTATTTCTGACGAATCAATGCAAGAATCTTTCATTCAGATCGTTGGTGTTTGTTACTTTACCCTCTAACCAAGACCAGGGGCCGCAGTAAATACACTTGTAAACTCGCTGCCACTCAGTCCCCGATCTTCACACAAGTTTGCGCCGCGAAGGCCACCTTTCCCCAAAGCTGACAGTTGGAACGGATATAGGAAATTTTAACATTATCAGTACCTTTATGGATGAGAAATATGAAAATTTAAATTGTCAATAGTTTTATTTAATAACATTTTCAACAGAAGGTAATAAATTTCCATTAGCAAAAAATCTCAACTATCTGCAATTATAAAAACATGAAATGTGTTATTAATCTTCATCGACCGGATCTACATCTTCAAGTTCTTCCTGAAACTCTTCATCTTCTGCAGCGGCTTCTTGGTACTGTTGGTATTCAGAAATTAGGTCGATCATGTTCGAGTCTGCCTCCGTGAATTCCATTTCGTCCATGCCCTCGCCCGTGTACCAGTGAAGAAAAGCCTTGCGCCTGAACATTGCACTGAACTGTTCAGATATGCGCTTGAAAACTTCCTGAATAGCGGTGGTATTGGCCATGAAGGTGGCGGCCATCTTGAGGCCCTGCGGAGCAATGTCGCAAACGGCCGTCTTCATATTGTTCGGAATCCATTCAACGAAGTAGACGCTATTCTTATTCTGCATGTTCATCACTTGGTCGTCCACTTCCTTCATCGACATCCGTCCTCTGAACACTGCGGCGACGGTGAGGTAGCGGCCGTGGCGTGGGTCGCAGGCCGCCATCATGTTCTTGGCGTCGAACATCTGCTGCATGAGCTCTGCGACAGTAAGGGCGCGGTACTGCTGGCTGCCACGCGCCGTCAACGGGGCGAAGCCGGGCACAAAGAAGTGCAGCCTGGGGAAAGGCACCATGTTCACGGCCAACTTCCTCAGGTCGGCGTTCAGCTGGCCAGGGAAGCGCAGGCAGGTGGTGACCCCGGACATGGTGAGGGAGACCAGGTGGTTCAGGTCTCCGAGAGTGGGGTTCGTCAGCTTCAACGTGCGGTAGCAGATGTCGTACAAGGCTTCGTTATCTATGCAGAACGACTCATCCGTGTTCTCGACGAGCTGATGGACAGACAAGGTGGCGTTGTACGGTTCTACGACCGTGTCTGACACCTTGGGAGAGGGCACGACCGAATAAGTCTTCATGATCCGGTCGGGATATTCCTCCCGGATCTTCGACAGCAATAATGTGCCCATGCCGGAGCCCGTGCCGCCGCCCAGCGAGTGCGTGAGCTGGAAGCCCTGCAGGCAGTCGCAGCCCTCGGCCTCCTTGCGGACCACGTCCAGCACGGCGTCCACGAGTTCGGCGCCCTCCGTGTAGTGGCCCTTGGCCCAGTTGTTGCCGGCACCACCCTGCGCGAACACGAAGTTGTCGGGGCGGAACAGTCTGCCAAAGGGACCGCCCTTGACAGCGTCCATTGTCCCCGGCTCCAAGTCGACGAGGACGGCGCGTGGCACGTATTTACCCTTCGAGACAACGTTGTAGTACACGTTGATCCGTTCCAGCTGGGTAACTGCATCGCCGTGGTAGGCTCCAGTGGCGTCGATACCATGCTCGTCTGAGATGGTTTCCCAAAACTGGAAGTAGCAGGAAAAAGAAAAAAAAATCAGCATGCCAAACCCAGGTTTCAAGCTACAAAAATTGTAAATGCAGGTTTTGCCAACATGCTTCATGCGCTAGAACAAAAACTCTAAGATAAACACACGAGAGTGAAAAGAAATTAAGTTTTCGAACTTTTGTTTAAATCCGTAGATACTACTGTATATAAGGCAGATTAGTACAAATCATTCTAGTTATTATATAATGTAACGTTGGCATAAACGACAACGTTTATTGATCCTTCTACAGCACATCAATAGGAAACGGAATTATTTCATCATGAGAACTTGTGGCGTTTAACCCCGAAATAAGTGCATTTATTTGTTACGAAAAAATGAACAGTTCGCATTCTTCCTACCTTAGAACCAATCTGATTTCCGCATTGTCCGGTCTGAATGTGAACGATTTCTCTCATCTTAATGAAGCGAATTACCCCAAGGCCTAATGCGATACAGTTGTTCTCTCAATGTGGCTGCGGCAGTGCACTGAATGCGCTCGACTGGGCTGTTCGTTTAACTGCGCGGAGGGGAATTCGCTGATGTCGCCTACCCCTTCGCCCCCTTCCATGGAGCCCCTAGGAGGAACGATGCTTTCCCCTCCTTGCTTCCCCTCCCTTCTTCAGCCACACCTTGCCCCCTGCGGTCGTGCCTTCCAATACATCTGTCAAGTTGGTACCCCACTTCCCTGAAATGCAAAATCAAATAGCCTATAATTTTGTACTAATTACTAGAAAATAGTGTTCTCAATTATAAACAATTAAACAACTTTCGAAAGAGGCAGAGCAAGCTTGACGTCAAGGTAGGGCGCGGACACCTCCACTCGCTAAAAAGTTTAAAAAGTGTTGTGATGTATTAATTCAGTACTAATTTTGTACTAAAATACAGAACATTGAAAAAATTTACTGGTGGGGGAGGTTTGCATTTGATATACAACTAGTAACCCCACTCATTAAAAACCTTTAAAAAAACAAAGGCATTTTATTTCGTCATTGCGTTACGAAAACGCGCGGGGCCGCAATGTTGATACACAGAGTCGCGTGGCCAGAGTTAAAGTCGGTATAGTGAGGCCATGGCTACGCGATGCATCTTTTCGGTATAAAATCGCATGCCTGAAGTTGAAATGTAAGTTCAACTTGACGTATATGCGCTACACCGTTCCTCCTTGTCGCACAATGGACCTGACGACATGGTAAGGATTTGTACTGCCTATACCAGGGCTTTCCAACTCAATGCTCTGTGACGTCACAAAAATCTGTTCTCCTGCTCGGAACCGAGCCTCGGAGCAAAGCCAGTGCCGGACGCGATCGAGCGTAATGTCCCAACGATGGTACGGAAGTGGGGAGAAAAGTTTCGCTCGATAATTACATTTTTAAATGGTAGTTATAATTTAAATTTTATTATTAATTGAAAATATGAAAAATTAAGAAATGGAACGTGAATTATTTCATAATACAAAACAATATCCGACTCTATCGTAACCACTACTGTAATTCCATTTCAATTCTTCTAACACATAACATTTTTTTGGAGAAGATAATTTTTAATGTTCTAAATAGAATATTTTATACAATATTATCTAATATAACTAGTTCATCCTCAGCTAATAACACAGGCACACAAAATAAAAAAAGTTTTAAATAAGTAAAATAAAAAAGACCCAAAGACTTGTCATGTCTCTATGTATGTCAACGCGCTGACTCCGAATCTGAAGCTTGAATTACGCCACAATACCGTGACATTATTCTTTTTTGTTTACGAGAGTTGTTGTCAGACCGAAGATTTGACACATGCTTCTTCATGTATGTCAAAACGCTGAATCCGAATCCGAAGCCAGGGTTGCCGTACCAACTTCTAATTGTTTTTCTTAATTGCGAAAAACCAATGAAATTTAGAATTTTACGATGGTTTTTCGCGATTTAAGAAACTGGAGGATGGTGGCGCAATTGTGGTTGCAGAATCGGATTAAGTGCGTCAACATATTTAGAGAAACATGGGTCAAGCCTCAGGATTTGACAATAATCCCCGGAAAAAAAAAAAAAAAAAAAAAAAAAAAAAAAAAAAAAACAATGTCACGGTGTTTTTTCGCGATTTAAAAAACTGGAGGGTGGTGGCGCAATTCTGGCTTCAGAATTGGATTAAGCGCGCCAACATACATAGAGAAACAAGGTCTTTGGGTCCGATAACTTTTTTTTATTTTGTGTGACTATGTAGTTAATGTTAACAAATAGGTACAAATAGATACTCGGAAGGGGTGACCTGGGAGAATTTTAACTTCAGGCTTAATTATTTATACAGTACAATTTTGTTTGAGATTGTTGTAAATCCTCGTGATTTTCAATTCCATTTCCATGATCTTCTGTCTGCAAAATCCCTTTCTCATTTCATGATTACAGGCTATTAGAAAATTCTCAGAAATTATTTTCATCTCGCGGGCTTCTCTGAGTTGCAAAGCTGTGTAAAACCTCTGTCGGTTGAACTCTTTAACATACTACAGTTCTTTCGAATACACTAAACACTCGCTTTTGACAAAAGTTCGGCCACCGTCGGCACTCGAATCCTAAGACTCCTGGTCAGAGGCACTGCAGTGATATTGGATGCATTAAGCCACCCAAGCCGATCGATTCTCTTCCAACGAGTTAGAGATACATATATAGAGTTAGTGATACATATATAGATATATCTCTAACTCGTTGTTCTCTTCGAAAAACATAACCTCAGTCTCTAGCAGTCTTCAATAAAGTAGAAGTAATAGTCACTTCTGAAAACTTTATTACAAAAATTACAGTATCGATACTTTCCTCAGGATTACAACATATACTCGAACGCAGAACTGGCGCACAAAAAATAAATAAGGCTTAAATACGACTAGAAATGTACGCTCGTTGTTTTGAAGGGAGCATACTATTTGCTCTTTGAAGAAAACGCATGGTCAAGGCCCTCTCTTTCCGAGAAAAGCCGCCTGCCCGAACATGCGCTATTGCATGCGTTAGACGCATGCACAAAATTGAACGAAAAGACACATGCGTGGGTGTAGTTTAAAAGCTTACGAGCGTGACATGGGTGCGCTGCCTGGCTCGCAACGAGACATGGCGCTCGACGGGCACTCTTTGATTCCAAAACGGTTTCGTATACTTCGGTATTGCTGCAATATTGATTGACGTTAATGGAAAATGTATATTCGTAACATAGGATTTTTTCGATTTTCTGGAGTTGCGCAACCGCGCAAACTAGGCACGAGCCGCCACGTATCCTACACACAATCTCCTAATTGCTGTGTTGGTTTCGCAGGGGAGGGGAGGCAGTGATGCCCTACTCACACTTTGTCGTCGTTTGAATGTAATTATAGAATAACAAATATGTTATTCAGTGCTTTGATGTTTGACCATGCTTTGATGTTTGAGAAAAAAAATGAATAGTTTTCGTTCATGGATATCAGGAGTTTGTGATTGATTTTAAACCGTGCATGCTTTTTAAGTAACGGGAAGACTCGACATCGCTTTGAAGAGGAATTCTGAGCGTTTCCTCCTCTCATGTAATAATCGTTTACATCACAAAGCGCTGCTACATCCAGAGACGACAGGTTTTTAATGCAACCTTACGGTCTGAGGGGAGGAAAACCTCCTGCAAACTGACATCTTGCGCGCTGTTTAAATTAGAACATTGGGATGGGCGCACATATGCGCATGAGCCTTGTGTAATCTAAAGGCCAGGTCGTAGACAGAGACACCACGTAATATCACTCACCGTGGCAGGACCGTGAAGTGGCGGAATCCCATGTGGAAGTGCAAATCGAAGATGCCTCTCTTAGACCGGGAGCCACCAAAAAAATCCACGAATGATAAGCTCAAAGCTAAAACTTTTTGAGATATTAGCCAGTGTTATGAGAAAAAGGGAAACGCAAGTATGGCGGCCTGCAGGTGTCCAGGTGTCGGGCTTGCGCTGCACAATTTTTTGAATGTTGCAACAAAAACAAAACAATGCAAATGGGGGAATAAGTACACTTCTAATTCTTGTTGTATATTGTTAGTTAGATAGTCGGAGTTGTGTGCCATACCGATGTGGCGTCTCAAACTGTACACCTTATTGAATTTAAAGTGTCCTTTGTTTAATGCCCTCTGGAATTACAATTTCAAAGCCAATGTTTTGCTTTAATGATAGAAAACTCATTTTCACTGCCGATTATGACCACGCCATACCTTTTCGGCGCCTCTAGTGGCCGTCTTACTGATTCAAAGATGTCCAATTTGTCACTAAGCCATTACGTACGTATCATAGGTACAAGTACGGCAGTAATTTTATTTTATTTATTTACGTCAAAAACAGTTAAAAACTATGTGCGACGGGCTATGGGAAGAAGTTAATTTGAAGTTACATTTATCTTTTACATTACACTTTACATTACATTTCATAATTTACTTTACACTTTTTTGGATGCCCCGTGATCCATTTTGGTAAATAGATGCAATGCTATACTGACAAGACATCATTAAATAGCCACCGTTCTGAAAAATCTATTTCTTTCAATTTTTTAATAAAATCATTGGTAAACCCTGGAAAATAATTGTATAATCTTAACAACAATAAAATATTGAAGAAAATGGTTGATTTGCAACATTTTATGAAAAATTATGAACAATATAATCGATTAAAAGAAATACTATACGGTATTTTTTTTAGATGGATTTACATGTAATATCTCTGAGATTAATCTTCAATATTTTCTGGGTTGGTTATCTAACATGTTAGCGCTGTCAAATATGTCTCTTTGACAAATAAAGAAAATTTACTTTTTTGCATTAATTGTAGTGATTTCTCTGGCCTTTTCTCTGGGTTACACAAAACGTGATTTCAAGCAAAGAATTGAAGAACATGTTAATAACATTGAGAAAGCAGGCACAGAATTAAACTCAATTTCTCAATATCACCTTGATATTTTCATTATTTTAATTTTACAGTCCTGCCGTTCTCAATAATAAACCCAGAAAATATTCAAATAAATCCCGAAATATTACGTATATAAACACACAATATAATTTACGCCATGTAGGAACCGAATTTATTCACAATCATTGATGACAATGTTCTGTCTAAAGTACGAAAACCCTAAAACATATTTATACTTTGTGATATATTCGGTTTTCCTTTACTTGTGTAAGTGTACTCCATTCTTGATAAGTTTCTTCCCAATTCCATCTTTGTTTATTTCTGTTTTTTACTTGATTACCTTGACACCTTTTGCAAATGATAACGACTATTTTTTACGTTAATAGGTTGTCTCTCGATTCATAATTGCTAGCTTCTCCTTGATGGGAGGATGTATATATTCACAATGGGGATATTTTTCCGCATTTGTATTTATTTTGAATTTATCTATTTAATTTTAATTTTTTTTTTTTTTTTAATTATATATTTTGCTGGTTGAGATGGCCGAGATCGTTAGGGCAGTAGCGTACTCGGACTAGAAGGCCGAGCCGGCAATGTTGGCCGCACCTAACAATAAGATTGGGGCAAGTGAGTGAAGGAAGAATGCTTGGGCAGGAAATGATTGATCACAAGTTTGCAAACGCAATCGTGGATGATGCAAGAGCGAGAGTCTACAGCACTAATTCAAACGGATTCTAGAATATACTTCGTATCAGTTTTGATTTTTTCATCGTAATCATACAATTTAAAAAATGTTGAAAAAATATTTCAATTTATTGTAACAATTTACAACTAATAACTTTTATTTTTGTTTTTTTATTATGGTTTTAAAACACAGTAGTAGGTAGTTAAAATTTTTATGTTTTTGTACAAGACAAGAAAGGAATTATTTCAATAAATGTTGAAAAATTAAATAAATATCAGTGTTATGTAGCACTTAACTAATACCCCCTATCCCCAACGTAGCGTAACGCTGTCTCAGCCCCCCCCCCCCTTTAGCGTTACGTAATTTATGGACGACCCGTTAGCTTTCAGCTTATCATACGTACATTTCCTTTCCCTTTAAGATCGCAAGGCGGCAAACAGCGCGATTAATATACAACGCATTTTGTTATTCAATTGAGCTCGAGGCCCTGCGAATTTCATACGGATATTTCCATGTTGGGGGTACTTCACATTAAGACTTAACATTTTCAAATTTTCCTCAAAAATGGCTCTGATTTTTTTGTACGAATATAGCGACGAACTCTCGAAAGGCTCAAGTTCAATTTTCATTGACCTCTTAGTTTTTGAAAACTAATAAATTTAGAAATTTGTTTGGAGTCTTCCAACAATTACAATATCGAGATAAAGATATGATTCCTTAAAACAATTTATTCTTCAAAGTCATCTTTTTATAAGGTCATGCAATTTTTTTTAATGAATTTAGATTAATTTTGCAAGAAATATACGCAATTTTTTCACAATTACTTCTCAAAACTGTTCCAAACATTTTCTTTACTTTTTTCTTTACCAGAGCAAAGTATGCATATAAGACACAGGTCCCATTTTCAGTGTAATATCTGTATTTCTGAAAATTGCAAAAAAAAAAATATCTTTGCAAAAATATAATTAGATAATTTTTGACATTAGCTTCACACAAAATTGTGATTTTTCATTTCCTGGACCACTCCAAATGTTGATGTGCGTGTGCGTGCGTGCGTGCGCGTGTGTGTGTTTTATTAACTAGAACTACTGGCACCCATTTACAACATTGCCTTCATTGCTAGAAAGATTGATCTCATTCTTTTTTCCCTTCTCTCCACAGAGAAACACCTGCTCTTAACCATATTTTTGTAATAAATTACCAATTTTCTGCAATAAAATTTTGAAATAATGAAAAAAGTTAAGTTATCCATTAGTCTTAGTCTGAAGAGACAACAAGATGAACATACAGCTTAAAAAAAGAATATTTCATATAACCAATATTAAGAAAAATATCTTTCTAGGTGAGCTACAAATACCCTACTTTAAAGCTAGAGACAAGAATATGAATTTTAAATTAATAAATAAATAAATAAATAAATGTAGTATTGTAGCATACTAACACCTTCAACAACTGCAAGAAATAAAAATATTATCAGAATTTTCTCAAAAACTAAAAAGGGTACCACGAAGATTAAGTTATTCTTTTAATCTTCTCATTGATGGAAGAAGAGAAGCAAATAGCAAAAGTAAATAACATAATATACAAGAGGTGTAACTAATGATTGGAGAGGATGTTAAAAATTATTAGGGCATCTTTCTTGAGTTAATACCAGTGAACCAATAAAAGATTATTTTCTTTAAAAACATATTTAGTAATGAAATATATTGTTCAATAATATTTCCATATTTCAAATATAGTCAATAAAACATAGCTGATAGATTTTGGTTGGCCTGCAAGAAAACTACATGTATTTTTCTGCTTTGTAGCTCAACCAATATTAATGTATCTTGAACCAAAATCACATACTTCTTGAAGAGAAGTCCTAAATTTAAAAAATAGTGTGCTAATTTTTTGTAATAAACCTCATATTGCAATAAATTTTTTACTGCTCGATTACATTAAAAAAGATTATACACCTTTCCTTTTCCTTAGAAACTGAGTTAAAGCGCTGACAATTAGTGAAGCTATATACAGATTTAATGGAAGGATAACATATAATATATATTTTTTTTTGAAAACTACACATTTATCATATAAGACAATATCCTATGATACTATAAAAAGAGAAATACAAAAACGATATTTCATACACACTTCACTGAAAATACATGTTCTCACAGTTTTCACTTATTCAAATTTATAAAATACAGCAGCACTAAGTTTATAAAATATTTTCATTAAGTCCACACTCTTGTAGGTAATCTTCAAATGATAACAGCATGAATGAATATTGAAGCAGGCGAGACAAAATTTCGTTCATAATCTTTCAAGTACACATGACTGTAACCTGAAAGAAAAACCACATAAACAGTAATAGTTATTATCAAGTACATTTGGTGTGACATATTCAAAGTCACACTTAAAAAATGGCAATTATTTAAGAGAGTAATAAAAGCAATTTAAAAAATGCTATAAATAAATATAAATACCTTCTTGAAGACTGTTGAATGGGATAGCATACGTTCCTAATGTGACATCTTTTCCGGTAGTGCTCAAGTCTTTGACAATAAAATGAATAATTGCTAACTCAGGCATTTTTACGGTGAATATCATATCATGGTCCCATCTCGGATTGAATCCTAAACAATAAGAGGAATTAATTTCAAAATTGATGCACCTAAATTATTTACTGAAGTAATTCATCTAAGCTTAAATTTTGAATAATATTCTCACCGTTATTTCTTACAGCTTCAGTTTTAAATTTTTGATTGTCCTTTGGATGACCAGCGATTTTTACTTTAACATATGGATCTACAATTTCTCCTTCAGCATCATTATCTGCCTTTGGAATATGTTGACCACTAATTACAGTTAGCTTCATTGTTACTTGATTCCTGCAATGAAAGTGTTTTATAATACACTCTGCAGTTACTATCTTATCTGATATAGGTACTCCAAAATAGTATTCATTTCAAAAACAAGCACATGGTTTCAGGTCTTTTTGCCCATGAGATTTTCACCCATGAAATTTTGGCACATGACTTTTTTGCATTAAGCATTTAGAGCCAGGAAATATTTCAACTACAAAGAATCGTTGACTATGATTCATTTGGTGGTAATTATTCATTGTGTATTTATGTCTATATATTTACCAGAGTTTCAAACTTCTCAGCTAAGGACACCACAATTATTTAAACTACAAGGGGTAAAGATATATGTTACAGTATAGTGGTTATCAATACTATCATGGGAGAAACAAGGCCAATACTCACAAGTACTGGCATTGCGTTAAACACAAAATGTGTAATGGAGTGTAACAAATGTCAAGAAATCTTCCTGTCAGACACACTCATCAAAAACAAAATATACTCAAGAGAAAGACCCAATAGCAAGTACTGCACAGGATGATGTGAATGCAATTAATCAGAGAGTAGAATAAGCATTTAATGAACCTTCCTTTGTTATATACAGAGCTAGAATAGACTATGTAGTAGGGGACATAAAAGTTTTAATGGCTTTGCCTGAAGAAGAAAAAAAAAAAAAAAAAAAAAATTATTTTTACAGCTATTAACAAACATCTAACCTTCCACACTTTTACCTAGCACTATAAGAGACATTACAATTATCAAGGGAGACAGAATATTATAAGAACGACAAGGATATCCAACAGTGTCAAAATGCAACATCTTACAATCTAAAACTGTACAATGAAGAATTTGAGGACCCTATAGACGGTAATGATTGTGACTGAAATTTGTATGATCATGCCAGAAAGTAATGTTATTAAATAAGAAAGGTATATATAGTATATCTTAAGAATATTTGATTAATGGAAATAAATTTAAAAACATTCAAACGTGAAAATATTGGTGAGTGTATGTGAAATGATCTAACTAATAGCATGGACAAACCAATGTATGGGTGAAAAATCTATGGACAAAAAGACCTCCAAATAAATAACATCACTAAATTCTTACATACAAGCATTATAATCACTACAGTACATAACACTTCTACATGCAAATTTTAATAAAATGCTCACTTGTCATTTTCAGTAGAATCTGGATCATAGGGAGAATTTTTTCGAAGAACTTCTGGTTTGAGAACATATCCACACCCTCCATTGTCATCAAATTTGGCATCATTGTACAGCGTTGGTTTTGCAGCATGTTGATAATTTAATGCAACTGTAACAAAATTCATAGATGGATTAATATCATAAAAAGAAGATAGATTGATAAGTTACAAAAAAAAAAAAAATTAAAAAAATTAAAAAAATAAAAAAATAAAAAAATAGGCATTTGATCTCAAAGATTGCATATACTAATCACTGAAGTTTTGAAATTTTGTGTCACGGATGCTCGTAAAAAACCCAATCTATTAATATAGAGTAATGTAATTAGATTATAAGAATTAAAATAAAAAAATGGTGTTTGACAGCCAATTTACAGCTGGCTGAACAGATATTACATGTTGGCTCAACAGATTTTATTGACTTTTCAGGTAAATAATGGCCCCAGTTGACCACATATCAATTTGCAGTGCAGTTCAATGTGCAGTGTTCCAGTTTGATTTTGATTTTTTTTTAATGCAAGTTGCAATATACTATGTTAGTCAAATGCTAGCAAAGCAAGAACAGTTATATAGAGTGTGTTTATTAGCAAACCCTGAAGATAAAAAGAATTAATTTTCAAAACATCAACAAGTAAATATCTACAAAAATCTTTGTAATGAATGTCCATTACTCTCCATGTCATATTTCCAGCAAAAATTAAATCTGTCTTTAATAGCAATCTCTTACCCCCTCGCTTCTCAAATTATACATATGGAAAAAAGGGTGTGTTCTAAACATTACTGCAGTTTACAACATGTAACCAGGGAGTCAATACATTAGCCTCTAAGAATATCAAGCTTGGTGAAGGTCTCAATTTAGATATACAAGTTAATTCAATAAACAGACTCACTAATTTACTGACCGACAAAAGATATAAAACTTTCATTGAAATGAAAAAAAAAAAAAAATACATTGAATCTTTGGAATAATGTAGTATTAGTATATGTATAATTTGATATACTTACCAAGCTGACACCCAACATTCCAATAAGGAATTGGTTTGAAATTTGATGAATCTGTACGTGTTCCTGCTGGATATATTCTGCTCAAGTGCTTAGTGTTATACTTCACAAATTCAGGTCCCTTTGTTTCTATGAATTTGTTAGCCTTAGCTTCAGAAAATGAAGCCATCTGATAGCATTTTTCTGTAAAATTACATTATTTGTAGAAAATTCATATATAATATCACTACATGCTACTTAATAAGCTCCTCAGCAACCAAAGCATTTATCATAACTGAAATAAGAAGTTACTTCAGGTATTTAGGGCAGGTTGCATTTGAAACATGCCACTTTTGATACTACAAAAAGATATAATCAGAGCCATCTTGGGCCATATCAATAGCTGAATGTAAGAGGCCCTATGGAATTTTTTCACAATATTTAGATTCATTGTTTTTCCATTTTGAATCTAAAGAATTTATTTTTAGATTGAATTAATGTTTAAGTTAAAGTGGTAAATATCTGAAAACTGTTCATCAAGTGCTTTAAATGCACATATAAAGGGGCATCAATTCAAAGGTACTTAGCACAAATAGATAAGTGGGTAATATCGTTGCACCTGCAAAACAGAGTGCACTTTTTAGGAAAACAAGGAATGTATTCTTTTAAGGAGCAAGAAAATACGTAGAATTGTTCTCAGAATTTGTATATTGAATTTGTATTTGAACCTTCATTATATCTTAACTGTAAAAAATACAATGTTTTAACACACACAATACAAATAAAAATAATTATTAGGTAAATTGTTCTCTGTTGTAAAATGTCATTCATTTCATATGGCTGTTTTTAACAGTGCAATGATGACATATTACACACACATGGCATAACTATCTTTAAACATAATTTTATAAAATATTAATTATTTATAATTTATAATAAAATATTAAAATTGTACACAAATCAATAACAAATCTCCAAAAGAATAATTAATCCACAAAAGTTTTAGACTAAATCAAACTATCCCAATACTTATTTCTAATGCATTCCTTATTGAATTATTGATAAAGTATAAATACCCGTTGGCATAGACATGTGTACTGGGAAGGGGAGAGGGAGGGAGGAATGAAAGATACCTGAAACCCTAATTTTCCCTGAAACCGTTTATTTCCATAAATATATTAAATCTCTGATAAAAATGTTGAATAGAACATACAAGTACATCTTAAAATTTACAGTGATGAGGACAAATGGATGGACATCTATGTACTGTTACCATATCTGCTATATATGCAAGTAAGTATTATTGTCTAGGAATATAAAATTTGAAAAACTTTTAACATTTCACTAAATTGTAATAGTCGACACTAACCCTGCAGCCCTTAATCCATTGAAATATTGTTTTTCAATAATTAAAATTAATTTGTATATTTAATTATGACTATTTTTTTGCAAAAACACTACACATTTGAATTAAATTGCAAAATAATTTCACATTTTGAATGTACCTTGTGTTTTTATTACTTAAATTCTTCTTTTGAATCAGTGTTAGTTGAAATTGTATCTCAGCCCTTGTAATTTTTAGAGAGTCAACAATTTAATTTCAGTTCCCCACAAAACAATGGATATCTGTTTTTCACCTTACCAATTTTCTGAGACATATTCTTATACCTCATATACACAGTGGTTACAGACAACAACACCATTAAAAAATGATGACACATTCATTGTATGGAGAGATGTCAACAATGTCAGACACATTGTAAAAGACCTTCATGAGCTTGTATGCCATTATGTGATGATGTACACAGTGTGTGCGTTAAATGGTTTATATGAAAGAGGGTGAGCAGGATGGTGTTTGGGAGACATAAGAACAAGTTTCAAGAAACTAGTCGTTAAACATTTCAGAGAGATTAAAAGTGTGAAAATAATGGTTACAGCAAATAGAATTAAAGGCTGATTATTAAATTTGGATGCTACATTAAAATAATGTTACTTTTTTTTATAACATTGAAGGAGGCTTAATAAAACCCGAAATGGCATTTTAAAGGATTGTGTTTTTTGTGACCTAAACTCAACATAATTCCTATTCGAATATGTAACTTCATTTTACAGAAATATTATTTGAAGATGAAACTGGATTGTAAGAAGAGTCAAGTCATCAAATATACTAAAATACGTAGAAGAATATGCTTCTTTAAACATAACAACAAATTGATTCAGTAATTCAATTTCTGTCTTTTCAAAACAATACTTACTATTTGCTTCGGTGTCTTCAAAACTGTGGAAGTGCACGGCTTCACAAATATTGACAAGATTGGAGAGAGCATGAGTTACTTCTCTTTTACCCTGTAAAACCATTAACAATAAATTAATTTTAAACTCGTTTGAGTATTAAAAAAAGTTTTTTTTGTGTTCTTTTCGTCTACATAGTTATTCTTATTATGTTTGGTTCATTATAAATGAACTCAACTACCTCATCAATGGAACGAGTTTTTAAAAGGTTCTTTTAAGAAACGTATGTCCATCTTTTTAACAATGGACTTTCTAACAACTGGAAGGAAAGGAATGATAATAAACATATAGCAATTTTAAAAGGCACATTTTTAAAGTGTGTACTACAAATTAAGAAGAAAAGCCTTAAGAGCAAATGGTGTGTTCTGGTAAATATCACACCTATCTGTTATTAGTGGTCCTGAAACATTATCTACGTAAATGGAAGAACTCTAACCCTTTGAAAATGTTATAATACTACCATAAACTGACAAAGAGAATCAACTGAATATCTCCACTTATTTAACCCATTCTATTTCCACAACCTTTAGTTTCAACCTAAAAGCTCTTTCTGTCATGGTTATAGAGATCAATACAATCAACTAAACCATGAGGAATTTCAATATTTGTTTATTGTTATACACAACTTTTAGAAGCAGTTTTTCTTCTGTACATTAAAAAAAAGGGGTATGATTTGTTCTAAAATATTAAGCAAAATTAAGGTTTGTCTCGTATTTTTTTATTTCATAGATTGAGGATAAGTCTCTGTATGGTTATCTTAACCTCTTCTATGAATGTCTTTTACTTATGTCCACCATGTGAAGGTGAGGAAGCAATCTGTAATTGTTTTAAAGTTGATATCAAATTAATTTGTGACTTTGTATTTTCTTCAAGAATAAATTAGATTTGAGTGCTATTTAATACAAATACATTTTCATACGTACCACAGTGACAATGTTACATTAATAGAAAATAGTGAAATTGTATCAAATAGTGTCAGTGAGTTGGGAAAAATACTATCATATAATCCCTCTCATTTTTACACTTAGTATATTCATTCATCCATTTATTATCTGCCCTAGAAAGACTTCGATGTGATGCAAGCCTACATATCCTTTTGTTCAAAACATGCAAAAAATGTTTCCATGAACAGAAATCATATACTTATGAAGAAATTATAGCATTCCAACCTTCAAATCTTTGCTGCTGTTGTCTGCACCAGGGGGAGGTTCTGCTTCATCTTCAGTACTGGAATCATCATCATCTCCATTACGTGATGCCGCTTTTTTCTTAGCTTTTATTATTATTTTACGCTTTAAATCTTCTGGTGATGGAAGATACTCCCAGGCATCATTTACTGGTACAGTATACAACATATCTACAACCAAAAACGAAACTGGTATGAATTTGAAAATTTCTTTTCCAAATCTTTGGAATTCACAATCTCTGATTCACAGAATTATATGAACGTCAATATACTCCTTTAGATACTCCAAATAATAACTCAAGAAATAAGCATTGAGCAGCTAAACTTGTTGAATTAATTCAATATAATAATTAGAATAAAATAACTTGGGAGAAAAATTACATAATTTTCTTGATTCCTCTAATTACTTTAGTAAAACACAGTAGATAAAATAATTTAAAATGTTTTCTTACCACCTAGGACTTCAACAAGATGTTTTGTTAGAACTTCCTGCTGTTTTGGAGAAAGATGGTTTTCCAAAGACAAAATAACAGGATATTCCGATGAATGAAATGAGTAAGGCTTAATAGCATCAACAAGTACATCTCTAAAAAGAATTTTTGTAGTTAAAGTGTAACCATGATAAATAATGGGTTCTCCATCAGGTCCATCCCAACAATCCACTGAAACAATATGTATCATGATAATAATGATCACAGTAAAAAAGCACAGTAGAATACATTAATAATACATAAATAAGAGCCAACAAAAAAATTTGCTTTTAGGAGGGAGAAGAGGATTTTCACATCCGAGTCAATAGCAAATGAGGCCACAGGAGTTGATTACAAATGAACATCTTTATCTGATTTTTGGAACAATTCTTGTATTTTTAACATCAAATTATGAACAAAATAATGTTAAAATTAATGAAAAATGTATCTGAAGTTTAAATTTTAAAAAATGAATTAAAATAAATATGAAACACCCATTTTCTAAAGTTGCTCTTTTATTTAACTTAAAGTGTAGGGGAAGAGGTTTGAAATGGAGTATACGTCTTCAGGGAGATGAGTTGTTACACAGAGGTGGAGGGTAGAAAAAGGTATTTTTTGCAAGCCTATTGTTTGAATGACCCCTAAGACATAAATTGTTAATGTACATTTACATAAATAGTTCCATTAAAAGTTGACATTAATATGTAATTAATGATGAACTTAATTTTGTTATACCATCATTTTAAAACTGTTTATAAAGGAAAATTTTTGCAAGGAAAGGTGACATCTCATGGAATAAACATTAAGCATGTTATGCTTATATTATAAACTTATTAAAAATATGCAACCAATCCGTTTGAAAGCGCAGACTTCCTCGGTGTGAGTCAATATTTACTTGGCTGGACAGGAGACGTCACGTCCTAGGCACAGTTGCCAAAACTTCGGTCGTAAAACTGCTACCTTTCTCAGGGCGAAATGCTCTGGGGTTGATATAGAGGTTTCCCTCCACCCGGTACCTGATGAGCGTAAATGATGCAGACATCTTCGTCAGCTTCGATGTTTTGTTAATACCCGTGAACGAAGCAGGCTCATGCGCATCAAACTTCGCTTTCGAGGGCTCACAACGAAATAGGTCGACTTAGCCGAGTTCTGCCTCACGTCCACATTAGTTCAGTACTACGTTAAGCAACTCGTATGTCCAAGTAGAAGGGATGGCTTCTCCCTCCTCTGGTGGCGAACTTATACAGAGAAGCCTTCGAAAGGGACGCCATGGAGATTGCTCTTCACGGTGGATCCGCTACATAAACGATACTATGCTAATAATGAGGTCCCACGGCCCTTAGAAGACTTGCCCCAACGCCTCAATAGTACACACTCCAAATTTAAGTTCGCTATGGAGGTGGAAACCGGGGGTAAATTGGCCTTCCTTCACATGCACCGAGTCGGTAATCTTACGGGAGTCTAGGGTATAGTGTTCCCAGGAAACCGACCCATATCAACTGTTCGCTGGTTCGCACCATCACCTGGCTACTAAACGGAGGGTTTTGCAATCCCTGACTACCAGAGCAACTAGAGTGTGTGACGAGGAATTCTTAGGTCGTAAAATGGAGCTCCTCAAGAGCACATTTTTAGCTTCAGGTCTTTGAACCCCCAGTGCGTGGATTCGATCCCGGCCGCGGTGCCCGGATTTTCGAAGGGCGGAAAATCCACAGTAGCCATGCCACACTTGTGGCATGTGAAAGAACCCTGACGGTATGCCCGACAAAATTAAATACCTCCGACAACATTCGCCCTAAACGACGTCTCACTTTCCCCCCCAGACAGTTCGGATATAGTAACTGATACCGACATCTGGCGGAGAAAGTAAGAGTCAAATTCCAGGCGTATTAGGGGTCTGCCCGCGAGGGGCGCCTGCTCGATAACATTACCAACCAAACCACGAGGCCGGCAGCGACCACCTCCAGCACTGCGGATGACATCACTAGTTGGCGACGATGCCCGTAGCATCATGGCCATTTTACCATATATTCAAGGAGACACCAGCAAAATTGGCAAGTTTTTAAGCCGCTTCAGCATTAAGATGACCCACAACCCCATGGAAAATAGCCTCTATTATCATGATCTCAAAACCCAATAAATATCCCAAGCTAGCTCCCCATCAGCCTCCTCTCTGTTACTGGTGAATTTTTTGAAAACATTTTCCTGTCCTTCATGACCCTGCTCCTTATATATTAACCCCGCTAATCCCAATTAGCGTTCTGTCCACAATACTCCTCCTTTCTTCAAACCTTCTACCTCACTATTAACATTGTCTTAGAAATCAAGGTCAAACATAAATCCCCTCTTTACTGACATTTGGTTCTGTCATGGTTGGTTCCATCACCTTTGGTTCTGTCAACCAGTCCTAAGAGTTTGACCTCTACGTTTTGTTTGTTTTTTCCCCTATTTTGATTGTGAGGTACCAGAACACCAAAAATTTGGAAACCATCCTTCACTCACATCCTCCAACCTGCTTAACTCAACTAAATGTTTAATAACTGTATATGTGTAACTTAATATTAAACTTAACTTAATCTCAACTTCAAATCCTTATACTCTCTCCCCCACCAACTTGACATTTGTCAGCAGATCAACAGAACATCAATGAAACAACTGACATTTAATTCTAAACAAACCACTCCCTTTCCCAAATACTAATAAACATTCCTATCCTAATTTTCCATAGCAAATATACCATTTAAAATTCCCTTCCATCTATTGCTAAATAAAATCCCTATTGCTCAACCAAAAACTTAGCTCTCCAAAATCCATAAAATAATCCATTACCCCTTGTCCTTCCCCAGTCCCCAGCTCCTCTGGGTGAAGCAGAGAGGCAACAACTTCGAAAATCAACACTGCAATGAAGTTACTGAGGCACAAGAGGAAACATCGAGGCTATCTACATGTGCTTCAAAAGCACACGGAGAAGGTCAGCCAAAACATTGCCATCTGTACCTAGGACACATCATCTCCCAAATAGCCGAGATCGTATATATTAACAACAAATCCCATTATAATCTCAATAAATTAACAAAAATAATCAATTAAAACTTACTTTCAACACAACGACACCCTTGTTTTAGAGCATCAATGTAGCCTTCCACACTACTTTCCCCATGGAGTTGCTTTCCAGTCAGATATCTGTGAACAGCAAAATCTTTGAATAGCACAATTTGCAATCTTTGTTTCTTATTTGGATGGTTAAAGGGCCAATCTAAGCAAGTCAAGTAATGTTCAAGTTCGACTCTGGTGATGCTTACAATGCTAAATTACATTATCTTTCAGAGGTACTTAAAATGATAGCCACTTTAAAGAGAGAAAAATTATATTATACCTCTAAATAACCACCTCAAAGTTTTAGAGGACAACAGATGTAAAATTCATAAGTCAATTTAAATTCACTGAAGGAAATTGAATAATTACTTACGTGTTATGAGATGTAGCAATGTAATAATGTGACAAAGGTTGATGCATATCTTGATATACTACTTTATGATGTTGCTTGAATGCATCAAATTGTTCAGACATTAGCATATTTGTAAATCCTAAAAAACATACATTATTATTATTATTATTAATAATAGTGAATATGTGAACTTCCATTCAGCTGAGAAGTTTCAGTTTACGTTATATAAAAGTATCCTACCTATTAATGAGAGTTTTCCTTCCATTTTCAAATTAGATTGCTCAAAAGCTTCTATTAATGTAAGACATTCTTCTTTTGTAGTAGTATGTCCTTTTTGCTCCTTATGTATGAAGTCCAAAAGATCAGCAACTGTCATTTCTTTATTTTTGGTGTACCTGAAAACAAAATGACAGAAAAGTATTGAATATAAATTGTCCTCAAGATTAGTGAAAATATAATTCCTTAACTTTTAATATTTATAACAGACACAAAAAATCATGGGTCAATATGGGAATAGCTTGTAATTTAAAACACAAATTGGAGAGGAGATTCTTCATCTTGCATATAATCGAAAGAAAAGTTAATTTAAAAAAATACACCTATCACACAGGCTTTATATCAAAATTGGAATATTTGTCAAGCTGTAAAACATAATGAGACACTTCAAAACTATTCTTGAACATGATTTTAACTTCATTTCTCATCGTTGATCATAAATAATTTGAGTAAACAGCTTTTCAAATTCCCAGGTAGGTACTTGCCAACCATCTTTCTTTTTTGTCAACAATTTTTCATAGCTGTACTTCAAAGAATTTCAATTTATTTTTGACAAGAATAACAATATATTTATTTCTCTCACTGTAGTAGAATTAACTGAATTATTATCAAATGTTTTAGAGCAGAAATTTAGGGAATGCGTTAAGATACATACTTCACTCTTCTAATAAAATTACAATATTCTAATAAAATTACAATATTCTAACTGTGTAATTTACCAGTTTTATGCTAGGAGGCTTTAAAACAAATGGACAATCCATTGAAACAATATGAATAAGCCGACAACAAATTGAAATTAATGCTTAAAGAAAATTTGCTAGTATATAAATAGGTACCAATAAAGCCAATCAATATGAATTAAAGCAATATTTTAATGGTGTGTTGTGTTACTCAATTACTTCAAAGAATGTTTGTTAGAGTAAAACTGTTTATCTTGCAATCATTTTATCAACATTCCACATTCTAAAAGTACCATTAATACAGATTTTCCAAAAAACCTTCCTAGGTTCATATATTAGTCAGTTAAATTTTCCCTGCCACAGAGTAAGCACAAAGCAAATACTATTTGATAAAAAAATTCATTTTTAAGACAATGACCTAACATCCAAGATCTTCAATGGATTTGAATCTTTGATCCTTCCAGCAGACTTTGTATGAGCGTGAACTAATCCTTAATGTTAATTGGACCTGCAAGTTAACTGACTTACCTGGTGTAAATATCTTTTATGTCATTTCTTGTCATAAGTTTCATATAGAAGGATACAAATTCATCAGCATCCAACACTTGCTCTCCATTTCTTGTGTGTTTTACTGTGTTTGCTTCCTAAAATAAAAAAGTAATATTTTTTTAGACTATAGAACATTAGAAAAAACATTCCAGAAATTTGAAAGTATGCTCTACAATACCAAACTTACATCAAATAATTTCTTTACTGAGTTTCTTGGCATCTTGACATTTAATTGCTTCAATAATTTTAGGCTCTCTTCAAAATTTAATCCATTGTTATGATCCACATCAGCTTCATGAAATTGTTGTTCTAACCATCTAAAAATTTCACTCAAATAAGAATACTACTAGTTTAGTAACACATATTCACTTATCTTTATAGAATTAAGGTTGTTTTTTTGAGAATTGAAAAATAAAGTTGTAGAAGAATATTAACAATTGTTAACCCAGCATTTCCAATTTAACATTTTCTCAAATTCCTGAATTAAGGTAATAAAATATTTAAAAAGATTTGAACTTTTGAACAAGATTCTCTTAATTGTCTTTTCACTATCACATATGGTAGCTAACTTGTAATGCTACAAGATTAAAGACTTGAATATTATTGAAATAGAAAGGAACAGAAAAATTCAACTAAATCTAAGTAACTTAATTGACAAGAAGTGGTTGAAATACTGTTATTTTTATGACATAATATAAATCATATTAAGACTGATTTATTACATCACTCAGCGATATTAATTTGTTTTCAGAAAATATTTCCACATACAGATACCTGGCATATAAAATTTTGAAAAAATCTATGATTATTAGGCAGAAGAACAAAACAAAGAGAACATTTTTTTTTTAAATGTCAATGGAAAATGTTTGAGGGGGGAGATTTTAAATCCCTCTTTCACATACGTACCTTTCAAATCTTTCTTCCTGATGAAGACCTTTCAGAACTGTTACAATGTGGCGCAGTCCTCTTACCCACATATCAGCAATTTTTGGTTCTGGTGCGACCAAATCTAAACTTTGCTTGTTACTACTATATATGATAGAGAAACAGCATCTTTCATCAACAGGTGAAGGTTGTGATGGAAATTTCAATCGTCTCCTTTCAACTTTTTTTTCAATTTTGTTGAAAGTATCTGTTTTCCATCCTTTTCGCACATCTATTATGTCATCAACCACAACTAAAAAGAGAATAAATGGTGGAAACAAGAGGTAAGTACAGAATTTCAAAATAAACTTTATAACTTTGAAATATTTAATTGAATAAATTAATTAAATCAATATACATTCAAATTAAATTAAAATTAAACAAAAGTATGATATCACACATCCTTTTATTAATTTAAAATTAGCTGACATTTTTGAAAATATGTATACTATTGCACTTACTTCTTAAAGGTGAATGCACACAGGGCGCTTTATGACTGGGTTCATACCGAACAGTGCCTTCTTTATCATCAAGGTAGTATGTGCGACGATACCATTTAGTGAAAGATCGAACCTTCCAGAGTTGTGTTCCTTTCTTTAGAATTTCCAATATTTGTTCAACAGTTTTGGACCGATGGTCAATCACCTCTGTAAAAAAAATGAAATAACAAAATTATTATAAAATACAAAATTTAGCAATTGTTATTAATTTACTTTCACATTGAAATATTAATTTATGAACACTTACAGGAGAAAAGGGAAAATAAATTTATTCAATCAACTAGTTTCAAGTACTGCTGAGGAATTCAAAATAAATTTAAAGAGTGTGAAAACACAAAGAAATAGAAAATAAATAGGAAATATTTAAGCATTTTAATTGTGGGAAGAAATAAATAAAGAACGAACGAAAAACACAACTTGAAATGGAACAAGGTAACAAAATATAGTTTTGAAACACGAAAACCGTAGGCATACAAACCCATTAAAGTTATAAGAATGAATTAAAAATTAATTTAATCTCAAAAATCGTGGGCCATTGAACCGGGGTCAGCCTACAATCATTAATGGTTGTTGTGATCAGTTAATAAAGTGGTGAAACATCCTCAAATGTATCTTTTTCACTGACAGAAGGTATTTAGTGAATTATTCTTTGTTAATATATAGAAAACGTGCGAAATCTTTTAATGGAATATTGCGAGTGGTTCTTGAATTCTTACTCATATACCGCGAAATACAAAATCGTTAGATGTACATACAGCACAAAAATATTTCGATTCCGAGTTAGAATTTAGCAAGTGAAGGATAAGTTGATGTCAATGTTAGGTTCTTCACACATATCCTACCTCTATCGAGTGATGATAAACCGAAATCTGAATACACTTCCATGGACCTAGTTTTCCTAAGATGATACATGACATCGCTTTCATAGCCACAGTCACGGATAACACCGACAGTGAAGATCTACCGTTTGGGACTGGGTTATCAAAGCTCTAGTTACTCAATCTTTCTTATCGAACTTTGGGAGTTATTTCAAGGTACGCCCCGGATAATAGATACGTCGATATGTCACTCACAGAAGGGCATGAGTTTGATAACCGGTTCCGGAAATTTGATATGACATCTCTTAATCAATCATCATAAACACTACGTTTTATACAAATTAATCAAGTTTCCGGGATAGGGTTCATATACGTCCCATAAAATATGGAATTATTATTTTTCCGAAAAACTTAGTCGAAAAGGCAAAATGCCCCGTATTTTCCTTCATCCCGTTTTCTTGCTATTCGGCGCCCGCCCGACAAAAAATTACATTGTACACATAGTTTCCTACTTACGATCACGCTCACAGAAGCTGTTTTATTGTATTCCTATTTTACGTCCTTGACAATTAAGGTCAGACGTGTAGGTCAAGTCTCCCACTGGCTCAGCTGGCTTGGAGAAAACATTGGTTGACGCGCCAAGAAACACTAATCGACTGAGGACTATTCTCCGGGTCTATCGCCGTGGAACTTTCATCTCCCATACTTATTTCCAAACTAGACGAAGCTCGTTGAGAACTTTTGTGCACGGGTCGGTTTAGGGGGAGGGAATTCTCGGCTATCCCGGAGACGCCGCGTCGTTGGCTGGGGTGCCGACGTTTCGCCTGACACATGTCGCAGGCTTCCTCAGGACAGTGCAGGAGGGCGTCACTGCCCTGAGAAGCCTGCGAATTGTCAGGCGAAACGTCGGCACCCAGCCAACGACGCGGCGTCTCCCGGATTAGCCGAGAATTCATGGATTTCGAAGCCGCGGAAGCTTACGTATACATCTTAGGGGGAGGAAACTGGGCTCGCATCTAGTTTGCAATTGAACAGCAGCGGCCCGTAAGCCCTCACGTTAGCACCACGTCCAAAACAGTGGCTTACACAACCGAGGAAGTGAAGATTTAAGGGTTTAAGGGGACATTTGTACTCGGAATACACAACATGCCACATCACACAGACATTCATGTCTCACGCGAGATTCGAACCTACAGCCTCAACGTAAGGCGTTTTTGGCTTAATGCCCCAATCACTGTGACATCCAAGTCGGCCAGAAATTGAAGGAAGAGGGTTAAAAGGTGATGCACGATGTTTGGAAACACCTTACCATGCCACAAGGAACCATCCATGCCTGACGCAGGACTCTAACCAGCGAGCTTTCGAGACGAGAATACACTGTGGCGCCCGCCTTGTGATCTCTACCAAGACGTAGAAACTTTTTTTATTGGTTGACAGATTGCACACTAGAGTATTTTCAACTATAACAAATCAATCGATTTTAAAAAAATGTGTTGCTTCTTCGTCGACGCATCGCGTCTTCGAATCCTTCTTGGACATTGTGCGCCTGGAGCAATCGTCCCAAGGGCGCCTTCCCACGCCACCACGGCAGCGCGCGTACGTCAATCAGCAGGGCTCTTCGCCGACCCTCCGGCGACGACGGACAAAGGGACCGCAAGAGGTATAAACAGCAGCTCTGCGCTGCGGCCGTGGCGCAGTGGGAAGGCTCCCATTTAAAACTATATTCTGCTAGCGGTGGCGGGTACCCCCTCCTCCGCTTCGCGTAGCGAGAACCCGCCACCGCTTGCCGCAGCAGCGGACGCCCGCTGCACGTGGGAAAGGGCCCCCGTCTTTTGTGAAGTCTCGTCACATCAGTTAGTCAGTGCCTTTTATCTCTTCGGCCGGGGGCTCAGCGCCGTCGCTGGGTTCCCATTGAAGGAGCGATGGAAGTTTTTTTGCAGTGTTCTTTTGGAACCTCCATTGCGATAATAAATGTCTACAAACAGCCAATTAATTGTGAAAAGATGTTGACTGGAGTAGGATCCCTACCCACTAATTCCGTTTACATAAAAACTTTAGAATTCATTTATCTGAAATGACGTCTCGGCTGATGTGTCTAGGAGACCTTATTAGTTCTTGTTTAAATTGTTTAAGGCGGTTTATAAAAGTATAAATGATTTTGCGTCCTTTTTTTCGTTTTGATTTTGAACTACGTATGAGGACACATGAGCCACATTCCTAAAGTAACTAACCCAACTTCTGTTAAAGACTTCCGCTCAATTCTTCCATATCTCCCCAAAATATTGGAGAAGGCCATAATCTTTAAATATTAAGTCTCCTCAATGAAGTGAACGCTACACCAGTCTGGTATTCTTCCGTCTTATAGTACAAAACTTGTACTTGTTTGTCAGATCATGTTGTTGAGGCGTATGACAAGTGAGTCGCTACTAGGACGTTTACAGCTATTTCATTTGCTGCAGGAAAGTTATTCTGGTATTTTACCTAATATAACTACGATCCTCGAACACTGTTTAGTCTAGTTATATTGCTGATCTACCTAACCTAAGCCTGTCCTCAAAAATGTGTTCTGATGCTGACAACACAGTTTTATTGCTATCTCTTGATCAAACTCGTATAAGCATGCTGACTCTGTGATAATGATCTTGTAAAGATTTCGGTACTTTGTTTGAGGTCCTCAGATAACGTACTAGTTCTGAACGCTAAAAATTATTTTTATCTTCTAATATCACGTAGACTTGAAAATAATGGTACATCCCTTATTCAAGAGAAATGAAGCTACTGGGAGTATGGATAAATTCAGACTGAAACGTATCAATGCACATATCAATACACATAACTGAAGACCATATTCGTGTCGTACATCTATCTAAAACGTAAAACTATTTAAAACACAATAAAGGTGCAAAAATATGCAATAAAAATATCAAATGTTTGCAAATCGGTGTCATACAAGTCTTTTTAATCCACTTATACACTTATTTCACATTTTGGATGTGAGATTGAAGGTGAATGAAATAATATGATAACAGTGTTTTAATTATAATTACGTTTGCACATATTCACGCACAAAATTGAATTAGCATAAAAATACAAAAAGTAATTACAAAAACTGAAAAATACAAAATATCTTCAGAAGCAAAAAATAATTAAGTTATACTAGAAATGTGCTTAATTGTTTTCATTTTAAATGACTGTTATTTGCATTTCCAAATTAGTTTCTGAGAAATTACTACATCTTCTATCATCTAATATGTTTCAGTCCCGAACAACTTCATTATACATTTATTCCACTTGCCTCTGTGCCGAGCCCCACTCTGACGTACGTACCCAAGCAGCTAAAAGCCGTGAAACTGCATTTATTATCTCTCGTATCGCGTAGGGCAACATCTGTTCCGAGACATGCGATGAATTTGAAGTGCAGTGCACTACGCTTTGCGCCCGGACGTAAGGTCCAATGTGACTCGCGCATGCAGTCTCGTGTTGGCAAGTTCAGCGTAGACCGACAAAACGGATATACTATCTTCCGATTGGGAAGATAGACCCCAAACATAGCGTTGGCTGAGTGGCCGCAACCAAGGGCCGCGGACCGAGTTCGTGGCAACACCACATTCCTAACTTCCAAATGCAGCGTCTTTAAGAAATTTTAATTAGACAATAGTCACCATGAACGGTATGGACGCTTTGTTCATAGTACAACAGAATGCAGAAGTGTACAATAAGGCAGCACTCAGGTTTCACAAACGACATATATATATATATAAATATATATATATATATATATATAAAAGGATGGTAAGTTCAGGAGAGAAGGAAGTTTCAGGAAAGTTCGCTGGATAAAGGAAACTCATGGGTTCCCTAACAAATCTGATCAGTAGTAGTAACTTGGATGTTGATTTATTACGCTCATCTCAAAAATCGAAAAGCTTATCATAGAAGATTACTATTAAGTCAAAGTACAAATGTCTGAAATTATATTTAAGCTCAATACTGAGAGAACGGATAGAAACGTTAACAGGAACAGGGCGGTGCATTACTCGTATAAACAAAAGCTGCTCTCGTGGCTAAGTCGCTTGCCTTTTTACCACTGAGGACTGAAGTTCCGGGTTCGATTCCCATAGAACCTCATGTGAAATTTGATACGAGAAAACGAGTTCGCCTACTTTACAGGGGCCGACCCCTATCCTTCCCAATTCTGGCCGAGCGCGAAGACACTACCTGTCGGCGATTCCCTGACGGCCCCTAGAGTGCGATTAATAACGGAGTATTACTCTAATCTCTCAACGCTTCTTAAGGAGTTAGGAGCCGCGACAAATTAAAAAAGCTCATAAC